TTAATACAAAAAACTACGCGTAGTTTTTGGCCTAGTTTTTTGCTTCATAAACTACTTATCAACCCTGCACGTAGTAATTAATAAACTACATTTACTACATGTCACAAGTAGTTTTTAAATGTCGAGTAGTAAATGTGTAGTTTATGTAACGAATGAAGTTTTTTAAAATAACAGTGAAAACATAACCTAAAAACTTTGTTTCTTGATCAATTTAAATAAAAAACCTATATTTTGTGAATGTGTCCTAATTATGTGCTATTTTTGATACTTAGTAGTTAAAAATTAGAATTTATAGTTTATTTTGTGTTTAATAGTTACTTTGTATTTCATAGAAAATACACTTTTATTGAAAAAAAATTGTATTTTTTTTTCTGATGTTGTTTAACTTATACATATATAATACCGTATGATTGAAAAAAAAAACGGCGTCCAGTTGGCTTGGTAATGACGATCTATGACATTTCCCATATAATTTTACATATAAAATGACAGCGATCTTCATTTCATAGCCATCGTTGACGCCGTTTTTATTCGATCATACGGGATAACTTCATACTTCCATGATAAGAATTTGGCTTGATTTTTGTTTAAAATCTAAATTGTTTATGTTTTACTATATTTTTGTAGGTAGTTTTTATGTAGTTTTTATGTAGTTTTTGAAGGTAGTTTTTAAAATTTTAAAACGTAGTTAATACAAAAAACTACGCGTAGTTTTTGGCGTAGTTTTTTGCTTCATAAACTACTTAACAACCCTTAAGTTATAACACGCGAGTGCCATACAAAATTTTATCCAACAGCAGAACTTTCATGTCCAATCTCTAAAGAATAATTGATTTACAAGGATCTACCAGTTCTACTTTCATTGTTGCGAATTAATAAATTATCAGGGCGCGTTTATGTTACAATGCAATATAGATGTGCGTTTTGTTTTTTTGTAAATAATAAATAGCACTGACCAGAGAGAACACTAATAATTAAAGTGAGAGGGCTTGTGGGATAGGGCATTTCGTAGACAAGTTTATTTTGTCACCGCGCATCCCAGACGCGCATAGCGTTTAGGCGGTCAAAAAAGGAAGTTTTCAACTTTGCAAGTTAAACATTTGACAGGATTAATTAGATTGTCAGTAACTTTTCTCTTAGCTCTAGAAGGAGATAACTAAAATCTGTTGATAATCGGATTAATAAATTGATTTTGACTGAATGTACCTGTTCTTTTACCTTGTGAGAAGAGAAGATTATTGTCATATATTGTCATTATTGTTTAGTTGAGATTCCACGATTATTCGGCATCTTTGTAATTTTTGTTGTGGTTGAGATTCAGACAAAACGTTTCCTTTAAAGGTAAGTTTTATCTCGGTTATTATTTAAAAATACCTAATAGTAATAGTGAGTGCACATGATATAGTCTAAGAGCTAGCAACGTTTACGAGAAAGTATTTTAAGATGTCTGGCTCGTTGATATATCTTTTACTATGCTCTCTGGAACAGTATGCCCGTCTGGCTGCCGATATCCGTTGCGTTCACTACTGCGCATCGGAAGAAGATCCTATATATTTTTTAATTTAGTCCTATAAATTCTAGTATTGAATATAAATCGAACATGTCTCCATAGCGCAGTGCGTAGAGTTTCCTACTACGAACCGACGATTCAGAGTTCGAATCTGGGTCAGGGCAAAGACTTTTTTATTTTATTTTCGTATATATTCTGATAGTAAAGTATTAAATAATTCTGGTGACTCAAAAAAAAAACAAATATTTAATACTTTACTATCAGAATATAAACGAAAATAAAATAAAAAAGTTTTTGTCCTGACCCGGATTCGAATTCTGACTCCTCGGTTCGTGGTCTGAAATTCTACGCATTGAGTTATGGAGACTTGGTCGGTTTATATTCAATACTAGAATTTAAATAACAAATAAAATATAGAACCTTCTTTCAATGCGCAGTAGGGAACACAACGTTTACCGGCGGCCAGACTGTTCTAGAGAGCATAGTAAAAGATATATCAAAGAGCCAGACGTCTTAAAATACTTGTTTTCCCGACGTTGCTAGCTCTCGTACTAATAGTCGTACATTGCTAATTTACATAGGTAAGCATAACGTATGGGATAAATCCGATTGTAAAAGTAAAACATAACATTCTTTTCTGATACCTGTGGAACGACTAGGTATTATACCTGGTATTATTACCAGTAATACAAATTATTTTCTTCAACTGATAGGTTCTTGTTATAGAATAAAGACTATCAAAAACATTGAATACCTAAGGGATACCTACTGATACTCTGTGCGAGCTCCCAACCGTGCTTCCCTGTTCACTCCCAACCAAGTTAGATAAAAAAGTTATTGAAGATTGCAGCCTTGAGTTGGAGTATGGCAAGGAGTATGAGCTCCACTACGACATGTACAGAAACGGATTACCTAAACTGGTAAGCATGTAAAATTAAACCTTAATGAAAAATTGAACTTATTTATTTTTAGTTCAAGAAAAAGCGTGACAATCCACAACCCACCAAAGACCTGGGTTGACAAACGGTTCACCCACAGGTCAAGAAAAGCCTGTGGCAAAACATTAGTATGTATCGTTTCGTTTATATTTATTATTAACATTTTTAAGAAATATTTTAATTTATTTTGTGTTATGGGAATATGTTTTTTCTTTTTATTGCTAGATATTTCTTGGAGTTAAATAAATTATTATGTTCCTACACAGTATTTTATTTATAGGTTTTAATGCTTTAAAGTAATAATAAATTTTCGTTGTTGACAAAATAATCTAAAAAAACTACGAAGATTTCTTATTATAAACTTGAAAGATTAAGATTCGGTTCAAATATACAAATTTTAAATTTTTGGCGCCAGTATATAGGTATGAATGCAACCTACTATATCGATAATGCGCTCATAGTTCGGGTTAGACGCCAAAGGCCGCGCCACTAACACAGTCTTCAAAAATTAACGTTGATCGGTCTCTCTCACTTAAGTTATTAGTGTTCTCTCTGGCACTGACATTAAGACGTCATTTAGATAAATCGCGATTTTTTAACGATAAAATAGTAAATAATCAACCAGCAAGTCAGATTTTAAAGAAAAATAATTCATTACTGGCAAATGCAGGAGTGAACATGACAACGTTAAAAAGACACGGAGGATGACGATCTGCAACGGTTGCGGAAGGATATATCGAAGAGTCCATCAACAATAAAATAGAGATTGCAAAAAAGATTCAAGGTGCTGTAAGTGTTCCAGAACGAGCCGTTGTAATGACAGAGCCTATTTCAAGCAGTGGAGGGACAGCATCTGAAGGCATAATGTTAAAGTTAAGTTAAATAAATAATTGAATTTGTAACTTATGAATAAAGCTTAATAATTTCTATAAAATGGTGTGGCTTCAAAAACTCACGCGTGTGTTATTTATTTTATATGCATGTCTACATGTGAGTAAAGTCGAGTAAAGTCTGTATAAGTAGAGGCTGTTGGATAAATTGTTTTTTACTTAACTTAATTAAGTTCTCTATCGTTCATAATTTTCAAGCGTACTAGACACCATTTTTTTTTCGATCATATGGTATTATCGGTTTTTAAATAGTTTTATTTTAATTTGCGTTTTAATATGTTACTTTTTACAAACACTTATAGTACTGTCTCTATCTAGGTCCGAACTGTATACCGGAAACTTCGGCAGCATAATCTGCAGATAAAAAAAATAAGTAAAAAAGTTCGTATAAATGTATGTCCTAAAATGCTTAGTTTTGGAGATACAGGGTGTAGAAATTTCATTTTTATTTCGATTTTTTCCAAATAATTGTAAAGTAACGTCAATATTGGGATAAAAATTGGTGTGTGGGAGTTTTTTGGCATGAGAAATTTGATTTTGATGTCAATATGACTCCTACTTGTAGAGGGCGCCACCTACATATTTTTTAACTGGTTTGAAGAGTAATAACTTTTCGTCTGTACCTGTATAAAACTACTGAGAAAAAAAGTATACATTTACGACTATTTTTACGTAAAAAAGGTCTCTTGGTAAAAATCGCTACGAGAAGTGGTTCTCGAGATATTGGGAATCGAAATGATCAATACTTGTCATCATTGACATAAATTAAACATGTTGACTAAATAGTTATTAGACTGAAATCATAAATATGAAATGTTTTTGTGCCAAAAGTTCAACAGAAACGGTTCTATCGTCATTTTTTCGCGTGATTAATTAAAAAAAAATAAACATTTCCAAAATTTATTATTTCAGTCACATAACTATCTACTCAAAGTGTATATTTTATGTCAATAGTGACATGTATTAACCATTTCCGTTCTAAATATCTTGATAACGGTTCCTCGTAGCGATTTTTACCAAGAGGCATTTTTTACGTAAAAAGTCACGGAAATGTGTATTTTTTTCCTCAGTAGTTTTATGCAGGTACGGACGAAAATATATTACTCTTCAAAACAGTTAAAGCACATGTACGTGGCGCCCCCTACAAATAAGAGTCAAATTGACTTCAAAATCAAAATTCCCACGTCAAAAAAATCCTAGACACCAATTTTCATCCAAGTATTGACATTACTTCAGAAATAATTTTAAAAAAATCGAAATAAATAAAAATAAACTTCTTCACTATGTCTCTCCGAAACAAAGCATTTTAAAACATACATTTATACGAACTTTTTTACTTATTTTTATCTGCAGAATATGCTGCCGAAGTTTCCGGAATACAGCCTGTTCAATGCTTACTGTACCAACAGCCTATTTATAAAGCCTGCTGCTAACTTGCGATCAATGGCATGGGCATCTGCGTATCAATAGAGGTATTTATTCGCTTATCTTATTATGGTACCTATGTAACAAGTGGAGGCAGTCGCGGCATGTGAAACAGGCAGATTATATATTATATATTGAGAATCAAAGGAAGATCCAGATCCGGTAGTGTATATGCAGTGGTGTGACATTGTTTTTGTCTGGTCACATACTAAACAACTAATTAAAGACAATACTTACACAACATTCGTATTATGCTTCTGTTGCTTTGGTTTTTCTTGTTTTTACGATGTATGGAGCCTTTAATCTTGCCGGCTAGTCTGTTCTCCGAAGCCCTGGAAATGGCAATGCCCATGTTGGTGTACAAAACTGCTATTATAACCATGGGCACGATGAAAAATATAATGCTACTCAACTCGGTCAATGGAAAGTTTTCCGGTTGGGATACCATAACACACATTGCAGATTCCTGTAAGAAGAAAATAATACTATGACGTTATTGAATTTTTCTTGATAATTTTTTGTTATTTTATGGCATATATTTAAGTAATATAATATTTATTATTCTTTTTAATATTTCAGGATATTGCTATATAAGTATTTAATGTTTATTGTAAAATACAGGGTGGCGCCTCTCCTGCGCCGTGGAAGCTCGGAGAGAACGGTAGTTTATATCGAAATTAAATTTTGGCAGCATATTATGTAGGTTAACTGAAAGCATTTTATAAAAATATATATATAATTATACAAGGTGTCCCCAAAAAAAGTTACACATCAAAGTTGTGTTTTTTCTAATGGAACCCCATATATATTAATTGATTTTCGTATTCTAGGAAAAAAATAAAGATGAGTTTTATTAAAGAAGCATATACCTAAAATCTAAGGATTTTGTCAAATCAGTGTTGTAAATACATGTCATTATTGACAAAAAATAAAAGTGTTGGGTAGATAAATTATTTGACTGAAATGATAAATTTGGGAACTTTTTGTTTTTATTTAATTTATCATAAATTTTTCTTCGAAAAAATAATGATAAAACAGTTCCTGTTGAACTTTTGACACAAAAACATTTCAGATTTATGATTTCAGTCTAATAATTATTTAGTCAACATATTTAATTTATGGCAATGATGGGAGGTATTGATAATTTCGATTCAAAATATCTCGAGAGCCATTACTCGTAGCGATTTTTACCAAGAGACTTTTTTTACGTAAAAAAACTCATAAATGTATATTTTTTTACTCGGTACTTTATACAGGTACGGACAAAAAGTTATTACTCTTCAAACCAGTTAAAAATAGATAGGTGGCGCCCTCTATAAGTAGGAGTCTTATTGACATCTAAATCAAATTTCTTATGTAGAAAAACTCCTAGACACCAATTTTGATCTAAATATTGACGTTACTTCAAAAAGTATTTGGAAAAAATCGAAATAAAAATGAAACTTCTACATCCTGTATCTCTGAAACTAAGCATTTTCGGACATACATTTATACGAACTTTTTTACTTATTTTTATGTGCAGAATATGCTGCTGAAGTTTCCGGAATACAGTTCGGACCACACTGTATAGTGGCGAGCCACTTTCGCGAAACAACCGGTATAGCGAGCTGTACTACTAATATGCTCTTGCCAGATTTCTTATGTTACACCGTAAAATGTTGCAATCTTGCTATCTTGTTTAGACGAGATTTTATAGCCAAGGTCAGTAGGTACGTTAGAACAATTCAAAATACCACACTCAGGCATTCCACTCTACGAAATGCCGACAGCGCTCTCGAGTCTAAACCTCACAACAAAATTTCTAGCGGTCTTGAACTTTACATGGCTCCAATTCGGACGCATTCCTTTATTACAAAGTCCCCGAATTTCTATCAACATTTAGAATTTAAAAACGTTCTGTTTGATCTAAACTTCTAGCCGAAAATACAATGTAAATGGAATTAAATCACTGGATTCAAATACATTAGGGTGATTTTGTAATAAGTGTTACGTTTTATGTCCTGTACTAATTTTGTAAATAAAAAGGGCATGAAAGAGCCAAGTTTTGAAGGAGCCGTTATTATTTTCACAGTACTTTTTAAATGAATCGTGTATGTCTTACCCAAGTAGCATTTTCACGACTTGCGACCACATGTTTACTAAACACAACGTTGGATTAGTTCCAAAAAATAGTTAGATCCGTAAATTGGATATTAAAATAAATGTAAACGTTGTTGTAACGTTGTGCCGACGTTGCACTAGTACTACAACAAAGTAAAAGCTTCTGCGACGTCGAATAAACGTTGTCTTGCAACCTATTTTGCTTAAGTGATCTTTAGGTGATTCGGACAACGTAGTTACAATGTTGGGCAATAAAGAGTTTTCCGACGTCACTTTCAGGACCTATTCCAACGTTATGCAAACGTCGTCTGTTTTACTAATTCCAACGTTGTTTAGTTTTCCTTATTCTTACGTTGGTAGAACGTCGAGCCACTGTCTTTTTACAACTGTATTGAACCATAACCTTAAATCTTAAATGTTCACTTCATTGTTCTGTATATAAAATTTTCAGTGCTGTTTTTGGTTTTATAAAAAAAAAACTTAATTAAAATGGGTAGTAAGAAAGACACATATAAAACTAAATTTAAATTATACATCGACATATTACCGATACTTTATCGACTCCCTCGGTTATTTAGAATATAGAGGGCGGCACAAGCTAGACTCTAGGATGACTAAATTAGGCAATCTTGCGACTAGTATACTACCTGTTAAGGCTGAACTGCGAATTTATTAGTCCAGTATGCGACTACTCGAACTACTCCATCTTAATCTCCAAAACAACAAAGTGAAAGCCGCCATGTTCTTGAATAAGAAAATGTGTCGTTCCTGAAATAGCAATTCCTGCTTTTTGAATACATTAACTTGAAATATTTGACCCTAAACAACACGCGGAAACTATTTTTTTCGACTGCGAATAAATTATTCTCATTTTACTAAAAAAAATTCAAGAAATTTTCTGAAACTTCTTTAATTTTAAGGCCCATTAGTATTTTTCAAAGTAGAAACAATACATTTATCAATAAAGTTGTTAGCGTTTAACTTTTTTGCCTTGGGTAACGAGTTACAGAGTTGGTTAAAGTGTTTCAATAATTATGATCTTCAAACATCCTCCACACTTAAATAATTTTGTTTTGTTTTCCTTTATTGCCATCTGGCATATGTCTCTAACTAAATCATAAAAATAATATTTTTACTATAATTATCCCAATTTAGGATAAAACGCGACTTAGACGCCATATTATTATAGTTTTGTATTTCTGTGAATTAGGATTTTAAACAACGTTGCAGTTTGTACTAAATTAAGCTGCTCGCCAACGTAGGTATCCAACGTCGTTTCGACCCAAAAATTATTCTCCGAACTAGTGCAGACTAGGGTTGGCACGAGGTTGTGCCGACGTTGCTCTCCGACGTTTGGTCGCGTGACACAACGTTGTCCCGACGTCCAAATGCTGCTTGGGTAATACTTTACGATAGTAACAGCCAGATGTTCACAAACATATACAACGTTTTGAAGATTTCGTGGTCAAAAAGTAAGTTTTTGAGTACATTTTATTTGTTTATTTGTACAAATCTAATAGTTATATGACTATACTATTACTTTATAAATACAGGGTGGCGCACCTCATTCGCCTCGGTTGATTATACGAAAACGAAAAGATGCAGAAACAAATTTTTTACGGGTATATGTAGAGGAGCAATGTGCATAATTTAAAATTATTTTGAAATGTACAGGGTGTGTCAGAACTAAGATCCATATCAAAGTTATATTGTTTCTTATAGAACACCCGGTATTTTATTTTATTTTTGGATTCTTGGCATAAAATAAGGCATTTATTATAAGGGTTTAATATGTTTAAATGCTTTGGTTTTTGAAATATTTAAATATGCATGCTATAATAAAAAAGTTTGTCAACACCCTTACAGGGTGGTCGAAATTGGTCTGTTTTAACAGAGAAAACCTATTTCCTGACTAGATAGAGCAAAACCGACATAAATGTCATGGGCTTGATTCCTGAGAAACGTTTAATGGCGTAATCCGCCTGTTGATATTTTCACTGCCAACTGATTTGAATTTTTTACCATTTTGAAAATTGCCCATAACTTTTTTATTTTGCGGAGTAATAAAACACTGTAAAAACGTTATTAAGGCACTTTTTTAGGCACAATCCAGTGGCGTAGTCAGCTTTTTTCTATGCTTGCTCTTTTTGCCAGAAATAATAAAAAATATAATTTTTTAAATGGAAATCATAGCTGGCTATGAACTTAAAAAAATGCTGGCGTTTTACCCTTTCCAATGATCTAAAGTTATGGTCATCTATTTCTAAGAATAAGAGAAATATTAGGTTTTTGACCTTTATATCGAGGCGGGCCTTGATTTTGTGTTGACCTATTTGCCTAATTATTTTTTTATCACAATTTAATATTCTATATTATTATTTATCTGCATAATTAAAGACTTTTGTAAAGGTAAATTAACATTGTATATTAGTATTAGTAATTACAATTGAAATCGATACAATAAACAAAGAATAAAAAAAGTATTTTTTGAGTGACGAATATAGTTTTCTAAAAAAATCATCAAAGATGTTCAAACTGAGCACCCCTTTGTTGAATACACAATAAACATCTTTTGCCCACAGAGTTACAACAATTTATTAGGCGAACTGGTGTAATAAGTCCAAAAGCTTGTCTAGTAGCCTTCTGTAATTCTTCTCTCGTTCCAATGGTTCTTCCCTTATATATAAGGCCTTTTAATTTCCTCCATAAAAAAAGTCAAAAGGAGTTACATCACAGGACTTAGCAGGCCAAGATATGGGATCCCTTGTTCCAATCCAATTCTCTCTAAATTCTCCATTTAATAGTGCAGTTGTAACCCTGGCTTTTTAATTGTAAATGGTAATACTAATATAGAATATTGATTTACCTTTTCAAAAGTATTTAGTTATGCAAATAAATAATGACATAGAATATTAAATTGTGATAAAAAATAATTAGGCAACTATAGGTCAACACAAAATCAAGGCCCAATACAAAGATAAAAAACGTAATATTTCTTTCATTCTGAGAAATAGATACCCATAACTTTATATCGTTGGAAAGGCTTAAATGCCAGCATTTTTTTAAGTTCATAGCCAACTACGATTTCCGTTTAAAAAATTATATTTTTTATTATTTCTGCCAGAAAGAGCAAGCATAGAAGAAAATTGACTACGCCACTGGATTGTGCTTAAAAAAGTGCCGTAAGAAAGTTTTTACAGAATTTTGTTATTCCACGAAATAAATAAGTTATCGGCAATTTTCAAAATGGTAAAAAATTTAAAAAGACCCCGTATCTCTGTTGGCAGTGAAAATATCAACAGGCGGTTTTGGCCATTAAACTTTTCTCAGAAATCGAGCCCATGACATCTATGTCGGTTTTGCTCTATCTAGTCAGGAAATAGGGTTTCTCTGTTAAAACAGACCAATTTCGACCACCCTGTACATTACTTTTCAGAGATAATTCTTGTGTTAACTTTAAAACCAGAGAAATAAACTTTACTGAAACATTTCTTGCTTCCTTAAATGTATATAAGGGTATCAAAAATTGCTGGTCTATTTTAATTATGTATTTTACACAAAAACTTCGTTAATTCAAATACAACACTATGTATTTTTTTAAATAGGTCGAAGCAGATTTAAATGCTTTTTCAAACTATATTGGGATTTCCTATACCTATGTGGCTCAGATTTTGAATAAAAAACGATTTTTCAATAAAATCAAGAGGGCTGGTGTCGCTCTGGCAATTTGCTATTGGCAGTTAGTAGCTATTTTCAAAATCGACATTAGTTTATGGTCTTTATTTAAATTTAAAACAGTTTACATTTATTTAATTTACCTACAATAGTTTAATAAGTTAGTATTTATTATTTTATCAAGATTTTCAATAAAAGAACCAATTAAAGCAAATTCATTTTCTTCACTTCCAACGACAGGTTTCTGCCTTTTTCAAAGAAACGCTTGTCAAGAAAATTCCTATTTGGATATCTTTGAGCATAAACCATCCAGGCCACACAAAATGTGTGTCCTCACAAAATGTTTGTATGTCCTCACAAAATAAAATTACTAGTAACATATCCATTCCTTCCGCCAGCAAATACTGCTTCATTTTTCTTCATAAATAATAAATACTTACTTATTAATCTTATTGTATGTAAATTAAATAAAAATAAACTGTTATAAATTTAAATAAAGTCCATAAACTAATGTCGATTCGACAACAGCCATCTTGATTACAATTTTATTGAAAAATCGCTTTTTATTCAAAATCTGAGCCAGATAGCTATAGGAAGCTCTAATATAGCTTGACAGAGCATTTAAATCTGCTTCGACTTATTAAAAAAATGCATAGTGTTTCATTTGGAATATGGAAGTTTTTATATAAACTAAATATTTAAAACAGATCAGCAAATTTTGGTGTACACCCCTATAAATTAAAGGAAGCAATAACATTTTTCAGCAAAATTTATTTCTCTATCTTTAAACTCAGCACAAGAATTAATTCTGAAAAGTAATACACAGGGTTGATAGTCTATTTTATTGTAGCATGCATATTTAAATATCTTTAAATGTCAAAAACCAGAGATTTTAAACATATTTAACTCTTATAATAAATTCCTTTTTTGGACCCAACAGTTCAAAAATGAAATAAAACACCGGGTATTTCATAAGAAAAAATATAACTTTGGTATGGATCTTTGTTCTGAAATATCCTGTATATTTTAAAATAAATTTAAATTGTGCACATTGCCTCCCCACATATACCCACAAAATATTTTGTTTCTACATCTTTCCCTTTTCGTATAATCAACAGAGACGAATGAGGTGCGCCATCCTGTATATTTTCAGTATTATTTATCCCTTTCTTTTTAAAACTGTCTCTTTCATGCCACTCTTCCTCTAAATCTAAAACTTACCGGTACTATATCTGTAGAATTAGGCGGATACGTCAGATGAGTAATATTCGTGTTTCCGGCAAAAGGCAGGGCAGAAATGAAAGACACTGCCCAGAGCGCGGCTATAATCCACACTGCCCTTTGAAGACCTGATATCGCTCTCAGATACAAGGGATAGCAAATAGCAATATATCTCTCGGTGGAGAAGGCCACTACCGTCAATACCGAAACGTAGGAGGCCCTGCAAGTAATAAAAGAAACATTTTAGCTGACATTTCTCCTTCATTTCGCTTCTGTAAACAAAGCTACATTTTATTAAAAGAAAAACAACTTTTTCCCTAAAAGTTTTTCAACGAAATTTCATTTCAAAAACATCTTCGAAGTACTAATATTCGAAAACGTTTTCCGTCTTAATTCTGTTAATTTTTTAATAGCTTTTCAAGGTACTAAAGACGCAAAGTAATTGATATTTGAAACGCCTGCTTTTTTAACGAATTAATTAAATTTGTACATATTCATAACTTCGGATTTTACGATTCCCCTTTTGTTATAATTAAATGATAATTTTGAAAAATATTAAGCGAGTTTAATATTTAAAAGTTATTATTATTTTAATTGTTGTATATAGGGTGTCCCAGGCTGAGCGAGCATTAGAAATTTTTCGAGAACCACAATATCTAGACAGGAGATTTTTTACACATCATTGTTTTATAACGAGATCTATCGATTAAAAATATTTCCAATATGGCGGCACTTCCGGAAATACCGGGAGTTGACAGAAACTTTCTTATTTTAAATGGGTGTCCCCATTTTTTATTACATACTTAAATTCTTTGTAAAATTTTATGAATATTGATGTTAAATACTCTATATCTAACATTAACCGTTTTTGAGAAGAAAAAATCATATTTTTGAACGAAAAAAACTATCTGCCAAAAACATTTGTATAGCCTAATTGTCAAATTTAGTGATTACCACAGCCAACGTGACATAAAGAGGAGATATGTAGCTATCTATTTCAAAAATTAAATTGTTAAAATGTCATATAATCATGGCGGTAGCTATCATGAAATTGAGCGATTAAAAAATTATCATAAATAATTTTTTTCAAATGGAAACCCACTTTTTTTATTTCACTAATGAAAAAGCTTTTCAATTAGTTGCTTTTTGACTATACATGTTCCTATACCTAATAAGCGTTCGCTATTTAACGTTTTATGTAAAACTGGCTAGGTATTTTTACATAAATGAAGACGGAAATTAAAGATAAAGGATTATACTATATCCGTATTGTAGCATATGTTTAGTCAACTTCTTTATTTTTAAGATTTTGATGATCAAAAATCAACAAAATATTCCTTATGTTTGGACTAAATTTTCTCAAAAATAAAGCCATAATTTAAAATTTCGTTACAATACGGAAATAGATTGAAGTTTTGTGATTACAGTGATATATAATTTATATGGTTTTGTAACAAACTGCTCGCTATTTTACGGTTGCTGAATGAATGCTGAAGCTCTGCAAACCTTAACCAAAGCACGAGTGTTTGGAATTTTGGGTTTGGCTTAACATGACAGGATCGGGGTAAGCCTTAGGCAGATTTCTGAAATATAATATATATATATATATATATATATATATATATATATATATATATATATATATATATATATATATATATATATATATATATATATCTCCTTCGGCACACGCGCTTTACCCGACCCCTGATAGCGACCCGAATGTACAGCGTAATAGACTAAGTTATTTAAGATTTAATTTGAAAATGTATATTTTTCTTGATTTTATCTAGCTTCCTTTGACATTAAGTGTCAAAGGTGAGTTTTTAACAGTCAGACAATTTATTTCCATCTGTCAGAAAACGAATTATTTGAATTTCCTATATTATAAATACTGCTGCCCCCTTGATAGTTTAAAAAGTGTATTTATAAAAACATATATCTAGTATTTTCGCTCTTTAGTGATATCTAATAGTTGATATTATTAATAATATACCGTATGATCGAAAAAAACAGCGCAAAGTTGGCTTCAAAATGATGATCTATAACATACTGCTTTTTGTACAAAGTGTCACAATATGACATGGCCAGATCTATTGTTTTACATCACTTGACGTTTAAAGTTATAGGCTACTGGTTAAAATCAAGAAAAATATATGCTTTAAAACTAAATCTTAAATAACTTTTATTTTAGGTATAGGAACATGTATAGTCAGAAATATCTAATTGCTTATGCCTTTTATGTGCCTCCCCAGCACCTGTCAAACGTTACTTTTAGAAATAGAACGTCACTTTTAGTGTCACTTTTAAAAGTAGAACGACCAATTTTTCCGATCCCATCTTTGCAAAAAAGTACTTTAAATAAAAACACTCTGCCTCGTGTTCTTCATAATTAATATGCGATTCAGGCCAATTTTGTTCTAATATCATATCATCAACGAATTAATTAATATTTTAAGCTGATCATTTTTCAACCTTTCACTTTTTAGAGCAAACCCTTTTAGGTGCCTACAGCCGAAGCTTTTAATGTATGGAGGGCCGTAGCAAGCTCTTTTTATAATTCAAATATAAAGGTTGATTTGGGTATCTTTCCTTGTAATCGAAAGATTTTTAATTAAATTGTTCTTTTTAGAGATAATTTATTGAGGAATTAATTCGTTATACTTTTTTTTAATATCGATTTCTGAGGAATAATTAAAAATGAATTTATAATATATTTTTTAAATAATAGTTATAGATTAATTCACGATTAATTCATTCGCGAATTTAATAAAGCTGTCTCTTTAGTTGTCAGTTTTGAGTCAATATTTTTTAATTCTCTTTGATGTCGATTGCTGATTGAATTGGAGCCAGAAATGGCTCAAAACGAAATAAGTAAATTACTAACAGATATTTAGGCTGACGCGACAAACGCTATATCCAAACTACTTCCATTTAAATCCTGAATAACTTTTATGAAAAGGAATAAAAAAATGTTCAAAAATGAAAGCAATTAAAAAACGTGCGAGAAGAAATAAAGTTTTTAACCTATCCTCGCTGTTAAAGTATCATTTAATATATCCTAGCAGTTAAGGCAATTTTAACAGTTGCTATGAAAAAAATTAATTTTAATGCATCAAACATGCTTTTATGTACATGATGTTTATACCCGGCTACTAATATGAAAACTCGTGTCTTTGAGGTAAATTCAGCCGTAGAAGCCACCATTCTGAAAGGGTTAAAAAAGTACTTTTTATAAATATTTTTATAAAAATATATTTTATGAAAATATTGCTCAATTTAAATACTTACTTTGATGTTCTTATTTCTTTATTTTTAGTCGTCTTGGAACAATATCACAGACTAAAAATAGAAGTTTGGCTTTATTAAAAAATTATTTTTATATAAGCTGAAACGTAATTAGTAGGAGGTAGGTATAATGCTATAGTCTATAATTAGGTCAAACTGCAAACTTTATTTAGTTTCCAGCATAGTTTGCCTTATCTAATTTTTACTACCTTATGTTCGTCAAAGCATCATACTTTCTTTGACGTATCAAATGTAATTATTTTTATGGTTGTAAGAAAATGTTAGTAAACATTTTTAAAATGTTTATTATAACAGTGTTGTGACATTTTATTAAAATTTTCTAAGCATCATAAATTTACCTTTATTACCGAATAAAGGGACAATGAAGAAAAGTAGGATTTATTTTCAAATATCTTTTCACAAATAACGCCCTGAAAAATTTAAACGATTTTTTATTAAAACGTTATTTTAATGGACATAACTTTCCCCTAGTTCGTATTTTTAATCCTTAATGGCCTTCAATTTTTACTCCCATAAAAGCGCGTAAAGCGTAAAGAAGTTTCATGCCAATAACGCAATGTCCTTAATAGAGAGATATGGCAATACTGCCGCAATTCAGCTATTAGCTCTGACGTTATTTTGACATTGCGTTTGCCGAACTTCGAGTTATGACAACACAAAATAGCGTTGATTGATTTTGACGATTATGCCAACATTTTTAAAAATTTAGCCTCAACCTAGTTTTCTGATTTTGTCAATCAAAAGGGCATCTATATTCATAATTTTTCTTTGTTTTTATAAAAACATAGCTATTAAATATATCAGGAGTTTTAATTAGTGTCTAAAAGAAAGTGTGTCTAAAAAATTGTTCAAGTGCGAGTGGGACTCACGAAGGGTTCCATACCATTCATTATCTATACAACATTAGACACTATATTATTATAAACTTTTTTTCCGATTTAGCTGAAATTTTGAATGCGCGTATAAGTAATTAAAAAAAAATGAAGAAACAAATTATTAAAAATTGTATTAATCAATAATAAATATGTAAAAATATGTAAAAATTAAAAAAAAAACAAGATTAAAACAAAGGATTCGAACCTGCCTTACAACGGCTCCAACGTCAAGGTGCGTATTCATTATCCGAACGAACGAACGAACGAACGAACGAACGAATGAAAGTGCGGTATATTTAGACGGGGACCGAACGCATGCGGCCGTTCGTTCGTTCGTTCGCTCGACCATCCGTTTCGAGTCGGTACATTAAAGGCGTTCGCCAACAAATGCCTCCGGTCTTCTCGTGCGGTCCTATCGTGCGGTCCCCGTCCATACCACTAGCGAACATTCGTTCGTTCGTTCGTGCGGATAATGAATACGCACCTTCATATAGTAAACGCCACGAATGTTTGGGAGTGATTCATCGGTCGCTACCATGTGAACTAATCTGTTCAAGGTCACATAAAACTTAATTCCAGTGCCGTGGTGTTTCAAGTCATATAATAATCAATATATAATCTGTTGTAATTTGTTGTTTTAACTGTCAAAGTCTTGTCAAAACATATATTTGGTTATAAATATAAACTGGAATGCCCCATTGGTCGCACTGCAAGCACACCAATGGACTGACGCACAAAAACGAATCAATCAAAGAAACGCGATATAGTATCGTCTTTGTCATTCACGCTAACATTTTAGAATAAGTAGGAGGAGCGCAGGCAGATGATTAGACCGGGCCTTTAAAAACTTACGTCTGCGGTAAAAATTTACGTTTTTAATGTAAAAATGATAGCGCGCGTGTCGATTCTAACTTCATCAAGCGATGAATCACTCCCAAACATTCGTGGCGTTTACTATAGTAGCGTAAAGTCCTAACGCTTTAACCACGCGGCCACCGAGGACTTGAAAGATTCTATGTAAGATTCTTACTTAAAA